TTTTTTGAGGGAATTCAAAGTTTTTTTGAAAATATAAAATAAAAGTTATTAACTGATAATTAAAATTTGTTCAGGATTTCGAAACTTCAAACTTTCAAAAACTCTGAATTGTAGAACAATAAAATTCCGAACTTCAGAATTTCGAAGTTTTAGAATTTAAAAGTTTCGAACTTTCCGACTTTCGAAATATCAGAATTTAAAAGTTTCAAACTTTCAGAAAGTCAGACTGTCAAAATTTCAAAATTATAGAAATTCAGAAGTACGGAATTAAAAGTTTCAAACTCTTCAGGTTACCTTGGCCGTCAATGAGGCTTTGAAGAATAATGGAAATGATGCGAAGAAGGTGTGCCAGAACTTTGGATGTGTTGTGAGAGTAAGCATTCATAGTGTTCTCTAACTTTCAATCTATAATTTTGCATTACAGAAACACAATGGCGCTCGTCCCAACTATGAGCTCCGCAGCCAAGCATTGATAGAGGCGCATGAAGAGAAGATGCAGGCAATCCAGGTACTATTTTGACTCAAATATCAAACAAAAACCATTCGTTGTCAGAAAAAGCTGAAAGAATGCTTTGACAAGGCAACAACTGCTGAGCTTAAGGAGGATCTTCTCAAGGAGGCTCGGGCATTCAACGAGAGGCCGTGAAGTATACCAAGGAGGTCATCGTGGAAGCTTGTAAAAAGGAGAGAGAAGTGAGCGCCTTTCTGTTTTATCTGAAAATTTTACATATTTTCAGCAGTATCCCTAGTCACTGGAGCGGGGAACAACTCCATAAATGGCATCTCCAACACCAAGAATGCCATTATCCGGGAAATCCAATGGAACATGACACAGTGCCGTATTATTTTATGTTTTGATTTTTTCGAATCGGTTGTACATATGCTTCTTCTTTTCCTTTTGTGAAATTGTCGCTCACTAAACTGCTCATACTGTGAATCCGGTAAAAGGAGACCCCCCCCCTTATATTCAATCTTCAACCAAATTTTTCTCGGTTCCTGTAAAAGATACGAAAAAGTTATCAACTAATAAATAGTTTATCATAATATCAGAAGATTTTGATCCTTTCCGCTGAGTGTGTTGCGCGTTTTTGTCAGTCGTCTTTCAGACTTTTTTCTTGCTCTGTTCTTGTGTCCCAAGCTTCAAAATCGATGTGTTTTCAAGAAATGCCTTGGTACCCTTTGCTCATCAAAAAACAAAAAAAGGAAACCGAAATGGAAGAAACCTCAACACCTCACAAACCCAGATTTTTATAAAAATTTCAGGATATGTTCAACGCTTCTCGAAGAACCAATCTTCTCTACTGAGAAACTGGCAACACTGAGGCGTGTGGATACGGATGCTTCCCCAAGGAAGAATTAGAGGCCAAAGCATTGGAGGCGATCTTCAGACCAGTGGATGCCGAAGAAGTTGATGCGTTGGCAATGATGCTGGAGGAGCTTGTCGTTGAAGAAAAAGAAACGCAGGATCTCCTACTGTACGCTCCCTCAACTTCCCAACAAGTCGGTTCATCGACGCGAGGCCGCAAGAGAAATTAACTAATGATGGAGGATATCGATGCGGAAGCTGGTCATTGGAGGTTCCAAATGGAAGGTGTTGGTGAGTTGCTCAACTTTTTTATGATCAAAATTTATATCTCAAATTGCAGAGCTCAATTTCCATCTATTTGATCCATTTGGATCTCAGGAGCTGCCGCACAAAGCCAGAAAGGTCTCCAACGGCAAGAATCTTTTAGTGTTCAATGAGGAGGCAAGAAGGAGCGACAAAATTCCCTGAAGGGAACAGAGTGAGTTTTGAGTTTGAAAGTTTAGTACTTTTGCATTTTTCTTTTTTTTTCTATTTTTCATTTTTTTTCTATTTTTTTTCCATTTTTTCTATTTTTTCTATTTTTTCTTATTTTTTCTATTTTTTTTATTTTTTTATTTTTTCTATTTTTGCACTCATTTTCTATCCAATATCTTTTTTCTTTTTTTCAGCCCAACTGATTTCCCCCTACCACTTGAAACTCCAAGGTCACACCTTTTACCAAAGGAAGCGGGTCAGAAAGCGGGCCAGGGAAAAATGAGAACGTAGGAGAGGGTTTAGAATTTGAAGGAGTCAATTTACGTGAACAAATAATTTGAAGAAGGAAAAAAGAGAGAAACAAAAGGCTACTGGAAGAAAAAACCAAACCTTCTGAATAAAAATGAATAAAAATCACTTTTCATGAAATTATGGGCTCTGAGAACGTGTAAAAATAGATGTTATCGTCCCTCAAACTGATACGAAAGATAACAAAGCTTTGTTTCCATAATTCCAACATTTTGGTCTAATTTTCTACTGGGGAATTTAATTTTTCAGATAGTCAATTCGTTTTTGAATGCTCGAGAAACATAGTGGCGTAGCGGCCGACAGGAATTGATTTTTAATTTGCTCATCTTTGAGGAAATCAAAACGGCGTTGAATCTTACGATTTCCCGGGTAGTTATTCGGATATTTTTCAAAATATCATGGTTGCCTAAAAGTGAGTAACCAATTCTAATAGAATACATCAACAATTGTTGAATTTTCAGATAACAGTCTATTAGAATAGCGACAATGCAAAGATCTTCATGATGTGAATGTTTTTCGAAAACTTGTGCATATTGAGACCGGACGTCTTGGGCAACAAAAATCATTGAAGATCAATAGAAAACGTCCAGTGCCGTCATTTTGGAATATTTCAATGCTTCTCAGATTTCTGTATATTGATTTCGACCTTTTTGTCCGTTTTGATGGGTGAGAAAATTATCTTCTGAACATATTCATATACCTTTTTAGATTTCTTCCAGTGGAGTTAAAACATCAAGTTTATCAAGTTTCACTTCTCCTCAGAATGCAATTGTCAAGATTTCTGACGTATTCTCTTCTCCACTCAGAAACTAATATGGTCAGGAAAGAACATAAACACATACATCCTCACATTTGTTCATTTTCAGGTTCTCAAAAATTGCGGAGACCCTTTGGCATTGAAAGGACAGCACATGCATTATTCGATTGTCATCTTGCTTAAGAGCTAGAGGATTTTGATATGGCTTCAATGAAATTCAGTTTTCTTCTGCGTGGACCTCTCACACAAATCAACCGCTTTGATTCCTTCAAATGCTAGCAAGGAAAAAACTGAAAAAATCAGTGAGTTTCAATATTTAAAAATGAACAGATCTGTAAAAGCCCCCATTTCATCATTTATTGATTTCAAGGCTCAGCAGCTCTTGCTGTTTTAGAAATTCGGAAGAGCCTGATAGAAATCGGCGGGAACTTATAATTACCACTATTTACGAGTGATTTCTGTTCCTTTTAGCTTAAAAATGATAGAAGCCGTCGACCAGCAACCACAGAAGGATTCAAAGTTCCTGTGCTTCCACCGAATATTAAAACATTACCACCAGACACTCCCCACGGAAAAAGAGCAGCTCCACCATCGCCACGAAAAGCCAAATACTCACCGGTGCTTAATCAAAAATCGGATAATTTTAGTTATGATTCTCGACACCATCATCCAATAAGAGTAGCGTGCACTTTTTCGCAGCCGCTGTTCTTAGCTAAGACACCATCGGAAGCATCAATCGTCGTCGTGAGACCCTCAATATTTTGGACGAGCTCACCACCACGCTGGAGCACTGACTGAGTTCCAACTGTTTCCATTCTATACGATCCGAGGGTCAATCGCGACGTCAGTCTCCACAAAAAGAAGAGTGAGGTAAACCTCTGACAAAAACTATGTCTAATTTCGCCAAGTTTCAGATAAACATCGCGAAATTTTCAATATTTCTTTTTTGCACTCAGATTCTTGCCCACCACCTACGTCAAATTGATCAAGTTGAGAAGAATTATCATGAAGAAGAATAAGTAGAGGATTTCATTCGAGCACCGGAAGGAACTCCCAAAGATGATGCGTGCTGAGAATAAAAGTACCGTCTCCGCGTCAGTGTTACAGTAAGTTTTAATGTCTAGAACTGTGAAATTTTAACAAAATAGTTGAAATTGTTGCAGAGCTCGTCGAACGCAATAATTCAATAACGAAATTGTCTGTAGACGGGCAGAAAGCTATGCAAATACAAAATGTGTTTGAACAAGCAGGACTTCAAGTGGAAGATAACGTTCTCACATCTGAACCTGATCACTTCAAATGCAAGCAAGTAAAAAACTGAAAAAAAATCAGTGAGTTTTAATATTCAAAAATGAACAAATCTGCGAAAACCGAACAAATCTGCGGAAAGCCTGAACAGCTTTTGCTGTTTTTGCGACTCGGAAGTGCCTGATAGCCGGACTCTCAAAGTTACCACAATTTTTGAGTCATTTCTGTTCGTTTTAGCTTCAAATTGACCGAAAACTAAGAAAAATCGTTAAAAGATTGGTCATAGAGTCTTCATTTCTAATCGTATGACACTTTTTTTCAAGTAATTTCTGATCATTTTAGCTTCAAATTGATAAACATTTGAGAAAAACCGTTGACGAATTGCATTTCCTTTTCTCTCTCAAACTTCAATGTTTTGACAATCGGAAAAAAAGTTTGTAATTGGAATAGTATAATTTTCTCAATTTTCAATTTCTTTTTTGTTTCGCTTAAAATGTCGTGGAATCGTCATTTCCTACAGAGTTGGCCGTGAAGTGCCTAGCGGATTTTATTGATATGTGGAGTGGTTTCAAGTAAACGCGCTCTTCTGATAAGACGGCGCGAAGCGGGAATATCCAACCTAGATTTTCCATCGTGTTTTTCTAACACATCGAGTTTGCACCAAAAACAGCATACTCTCTTGCACACTGTAGTCATCCCTCTAATCTGTCTCAGCCATCTCGGACCTTTTCCTCTCGATACGCGCGCACATCTTCCTTCGCCCGTTTTTGTCTACAACACAGGCGATTTGTTGTATTGATTGACGTTTTATGGTCGCGTGTAGTGGGGCCACTCTCCCAACACACGAACTGACTCTCCTTTATTATAAACGGCATAGCTCGTGCATTCACAAGGGAAGAACACCCTCCCACCACCCCCTTGACGCGTTTAGCGTGCATGGCGCGGCTTTTGTGCGCGTAGTCAAATCGTCTGATTTTCTTCTCTTAAATCCGATTTTCTCATTAAAACTAAGATTTCATTGTTTCAGATTGCTTCAAATGTTTCCTGCAACCACATGTTCCGCCTCAACCATTTTCACGCCAATGCTGATGTTGCTACAAATTTTCTGTGAGTTTTTCATTTTGTGGAAGGAAAAATCAATTTCAAACCTGAAAATTCTTTACATGATAATCACTCTGATAAAAAACAATTGCTTCTCCTTCTATAATTAAGAGACAAGTCCAATATTAGCTCGAAACCAAATTTTCAGTATTTCAGAACCCTACTCCAACCATTACACTGGACCAAACATTAATATTTTCTGGCGGAATGTCTAGTGAAGGTTACACGATATCTACCAAATGCAGTTACAATATTTGAGCATCCACAGTTCGGCAGTGCTCAATCGAAGAGAAAGATGATGATGGATATTCTCATAGAAATGAACGGTGATGCTCAAGAAAAGCTGATGATTGATGTAGATGAGGAATCGGTCACAGAATCATACGAAAACTCACAGACGTGAAGACAATTAGAGCTCAGCTTCCGAAAGCCGCCGACCAGCAACGACAAAGGGTTTCAATGTTCCTGTACTATAATCGAATATCGAAACTCCACCACCAAACACACCCCACAAGAAAAGAGCTGATCCACCTTTGCCACAAGAAGCCAAAAGTGAAAAGGAATTGCGCGTGCTTAATGGAGATTCGGATAATTCCCGTTATGAAGAGGTAAGGTTATTCTTATTGTTATCACAGACGAAAAACAAGTGTAAGAAGCTTTTTAAAACTAGTGAAAGGAAAACTGTGACTCACAAATCAGCTTCGTATTCAATGAAACGGTCGTTAAGATGCAACTGCACTCAAAATGTCACACTACAACAATCCTCTCTCGTTTCAGTTCTCCTTCTCCAACACCGTCTCCGAAGGCAACGCCTAATTCTCAACACAGTCATCCAATAAGAGTAGTGTGCACCTTTTCACACCTGCTGTTCTTAGCTGAAACATCATCAAAAACTCATCATCGGTGCTAGCGAATTCGTAATTTCTCGTTGGAACCCTCTCAATATTTTGGACAAGCTCACGACCACGCTGGACCACAAACAGAGTTCCAACTATTTAAATTCTCCACGATCAAACTGCCACTTGCCACAAAAGTCGCCACATCGATCTCCACGTCGCTCTCCC